AAWWWTTWAWTKKKKTTTTAAAGTATTGTAATTGTTAGATACCTGTCAACTTGAATTTTTAGTTTCTAGTACTTACCTATAAAAATTGATTTTAAAATTTTATTTCGTGAATCGTGTTTTTAAATATCTATTAAACGTAAAATTATCACGTAAATGTGTAATTTATATAGGTAATTCAATTCAATTTTTCATAGAAAATCGTTATACGCTTTAGTTATATAGGCTTATAACTCACATTGTACTCACGTTGTAAGTACTAATAAGGATTTTTACATTACATATATTTATAAAACTTCTACTATCTAGTTGTTGTGAGACTGTAAACAGTTCCTTTTTAAAATAAATATAATATTATTGATATTGAATTAATATATTTCTTAAACGTCTACAATTTAGTCGAATGCATCAATAAACAGACAGTCTTCGATAATTAAAAAGCAAGGTCCTGGTGGAGATCGTTTCCAAATTTTGCAGACACATTCAGTAAATGCTGAAACCTTTGATAGATTATCTGCAGAAATAAATCAAAATATTGATCAATCTAAATTGGATAAAAGGAAGTCGAATTTGCATAAAATATTATGTTCAAAGACCAATTTACAAAATTCTATGATCATCCCAGAACCTGAAAATATCCGCATTGAAAATCGAAAACAAAATATACGTAGTATAACATGTTCAAAGGACAATACAAAAGATATTTCACCGTCAAAACAAATGTTGACAACCTCAGTATCGGCGTTAAACAAAAGTTCAGTAATAAGAAATGTTAGAAATAAATGTGTCAACCGCCCACCGTTCAAATGATAAAATTACACGATTTTTTCAAAACAAAATTTCTTGAACTCAATTTTAATAACACTTAAGCGTTAAGCTGTTGTAAGTTTTCTTTTAAAAAGGATAACAACACACGTGAATACTTGATGTTTGTAACATTTTCCAACTAGTAGTTACCGTTAAATGAGAAACTTAATTATTTAATCATTCGTACAATTTACATGGTCACCTATTGGCTATWATAGTTAGTAGATACCACTGGTTTACCAGGCATCTGCTGTAAATAATAAATATCTATTTGAATAATGCTGTAAATGTGTTTACTTATGACTTTAACTATTCCACAGAATCAATTATGTTTAATTAAGACGACAGCAAACATAAATAATTCAATAGATAAACAAATAAGACTTAAATAAAATTATGGTAAGATAGTCTACCTAAGTCAAAACTGCAGTTATTATAAAATAAAATTAGTAATAATTCATAGTTTTTCAAATCCATCGGCATTGACTAAAAAATTTAATATTGAGATAAAACCATTTAACTGTAATGAAATACAATCGCAGGCTAATGACCTAGCAGTTGATGTCTTTATTCTCAAAAAAAATTTTTTGATTACTAGTAATAACGTCAAGTAAAATTATTATCTTGTTCGGAACACGTAATTCATTTTCATTTTTTTTTATACTTTAAGAGTTCTCTTTCTAATGAAAATAACGGAAGTTGTATTTTTTAAAATAATATTGTAATTATTATTTCATAAAGTTGTACCTATTTATAGTAAGAAATTAAGATTCAATTTATGATTTATATGACTTTAATATTCTATCCTGCATGTAGGTATTACAAAATTGGAGCAACAAATAATTATTAGAACGAAATTCGAAAATGTTTTATTGCACAAACATATGCGAAAATGAAATCTAAATTCTAGGTACTATGTAATAGTGTAGTCATGCATATTTAGGAATTAGGATGTTGTCTAACTGACAAGAACCGAACTAAGCAATAAGATGTACAGATTTAAAATGCTCATTAGTCATTAATCAAAATACTTGATTCGTAATCAATAAAATATAAATATAAATGCCTCGGGATGATTTAAGGCCTAGGTGTACATAGATAATCTTACTTTTAATTTTCAATTTGCCGTATTTTAGGTAGTAAAATGAAATATAGCTCTTATTGCCCTTAAAATGCGCAATGTTGTACGTTAGTAAGACGCAGACACATTCGGACATGTGGAGTCTTTTTTATTTTGAGGGATGACTTTGGTGAGGTTGAGGTCACTGATATGGAACTTACTTTGATGAACGGCTTAATGTACTTCTTTTTCTGTATGACGACCACCAACATCCTCTCGGCCATATCACTCCTAAAATATTCGAAATACTTTTCAATCGTCTCTAGCCGACGTCCAATGACCATATAGGCRGTACAGAACACTGGAACGCCACCATACGTGTCCAACGAAATTGTCCTGGTGGGAGCGTCCGCGTTGGACGGATGTCCGCCTGCACTTTCGTTGMCTCGCTGCGGGTAGAGCATGGCCACTATAGCGGCCGCCTCAACAGTGTCGTCGGCTGCTACTTTTAAACACCGCTGCAAAGGTCCAAACGTTTTGTTCACATAACCCATTAACGCGGCCTTGGTCAACTGATGTGGCCAGTCAGGGACGTACGGTGCCAAACGGCCGGAAGCCGGCGACAGAAATCCAATCAACATGGCGAGAATAAACGTCATCAACCGTCGCATTGTTACCTGTCTCATACATCYGGAGAAGTGAGATTTACCGAGAAAAAAATGTTATTTTACTCAAACTTAAAAAAATGTGTTTTATAGATAAGATATACATATTAGTCTAATAATGCGTATAGTAATAGTTATCAGTTTATTTGTTTATTCAGTTTATTACATTTGTTACGAACTTGGTAATATTGTAATCATTCATTATATCACTTATGGTTGTATGATATGGTAGTCAGTGAATATCAAGATACCTAGTGTCTATTACCTGGCTTAAGTAAGTGTCATGTAATTAATTATCTACACATTTATATTAATGTAACTGGAAGACATTAGGTTTAGGTAATACTTAAAAGACAGCACAGTAGTAGATCATAAAAATACTAGAACCCCTGACCCCCTTACCCAACATAAAGAAAAAACAAACAATACCTACAAAATGAATTTAGATTTATTATTTTAATCTTTAAAATATTTTAAAGAACTAGATGTAGATCTATTTMTAAAAAATTATAATTTTTATTTTAGTTAAAACAGTATAGTTATTATTGTGATAAAAATAAAATCATTTATCCATATTTTCGTGACGTTGTAAAATGTACAATGTCAACATTGATGCGGAAGTGGGAATATTTAAATATATTAACACGCATATTATTATTATAGTATGTATTTTCTTGGTTTATTTTTTATTACAATATTATATGTTATTATTTTTATAGGTTCGACTTGSAACCTTAAACCAAGTACTATTGAAATATTGTTATTGTGCTAATGAAAACGATAAAATTGAAATGATTGGTCACTCAATGTTATGAACGGTGAAAAAATGCTAAAATTTACGCAAAATTAATTACCGGGTAAGTTCAGAGTTCACTCATCTCTACATAATATTATGACTAGTTGAAATAATGTATACCTACATAGGATTCGACGAATTCATAAGATGCACAAGCGTCAAGCAATCTATTACTAACGRGAGAATGCTATTCTTATTACTTTCGGCCTAGGGCCCTATTAGAGGAACACTTGTAGGGGAATGTGAAAAATGTAGAAGTTACACAAATCGGATTTGTATGCGACAGGGTCGAGTATGAAGCGTAATAATAATAATGCGTTTGTTGAAAAATGTAATAGTTTTATATCAATAAGGGTCACTACAGCCGTACAATGGGTAGAGGTACTATTGTGACTATACAAGTCAGACAGTTGCATAAATATTAAACATTTAAAACGCAACCATTCTTGAAATAAGTTTGACGAGATTAAAATATAATGTAATTATGTAAATAAAACACTCGTACCATCACAAGTGTTAGGTCTTAGGTAAGTATTTGCTTTGTTCAGTGAATGTTATAAGTTATAACTACAGTTTACAATACTCTGAAATATTAAGTTACAATATTGTTATTTGTTAGTGTTATTGTGAAAGTAAAGAGCAAAAAAATCATACTGGTTTGACATTATTATATCTATATGAATATGATAAATAACCTTTAATAAAATCCATAATATGGGATGACGACTCATCAGGAGCGATCATAGAGTTTATTTTTAGTGGGTTTGGATTGAATTTTGACGACTTCCAAGAACAAAATTTGACCACTGGTATTTCATATTCGTCAGCAAAATGCCTTCGTCGCTTAATGTTTAAAATATCGTTTAAAAATGGTCAAAACTTAATTAAAAATAATAAAATCCTACAAAATGCCCTAGATAATATTTTTTCCTTTAAATGTTATAAGAGGTAAATTCACTCTAATTTTAGAAATTATTGAATATACTCAGTAAACAAACTCTCAGTCAACTAATCTGCGATTAAGTCCCAAATCATTTAAATTTTGTAAAACTTGTAATAAAAATTAAAAAAGTGGGCTAGCTATAGTGGGTATTGCTCTGTTGTATAGTAGTGATGGAGAGTAGGTCAATATAATGCAGTGTTTCTTAACCGGTGTTCCGTGGACYTGATATAAGTGTTCCGCCAAAATTTTAAAATCAGTGAAAAAAAATTCTTTCAAAATAGAACCAAATTAGGTTTTGTTGGTTTATTTTTGTACACAAAAACGTTATCGTTAACTTTCGAATCATATAATTTGTCAGTATATTATATTATTATATTATACGATAACCGTCACCAGTTTCACCTCTCACCACTACTAAATTTCTGAAAAAGCAATTTCAATTTTATTACAATTTTCAACCACATACTTGTGTGAGCTTGGATTTTCAACATTGACGAATATCAAAACAAAGAAACGAGAAAGGCTGACAAATATTGAAGAAGAAATGAGAGTAGCAATATCGTACATACGGCCAGATATTGAAAATATCTGTAAAAATCATCAGGCACAAATATCTCATACAAAGTTTTCAATTTCAAATTTTTAATTTTTTTAAAACTCTTTTTATTATTTTATTATTTTTTAGTGACTAACACTAACATGTATAGCATGCAAACAATTTTATGCTATACATTCATTGTTTAATATATAAAAAAATTAAAAATGTATGTACTACTATTTTATTTTACGGTTGTGTTCCACGAAAATCTTATAAAATGTTAAGTGTTCCGTCATTCGAAAAAGGTTAAGAACCACTGATATAATGTATGTGTTAAATTTGAATGCAATGGCAAGTATATCATTGTATACGAAAAACGATTTTGAACGGAGATGTTTTGTCAGTCTAGGATGTATTATATTACCTAGYTATATTTAAATTATAATATATTTTTATAAACTCACAAAATGATTTCTATACGAGTATTGATTCTGGAGTTTTTTTTTACAGTTATTTGAAAAAAAAGTTATTCAGAACCTTGTTTTGGATTTTAACCTTGGGTATAAATCACAAAAATTTTATGAATTTTCAACTTTATAATTCCACGCCAATTTTCGTGATTTTGACATAATATTTCGTAAACATTTGAGCTTGAAATGCTTATAAACAAAAATTTTGATAAACGATTTTTGATTTTTTTTTACTACGATAAGTATAAGTTATAATAAACCTTGTATTAAATTTTAAAGATGTTTTGGACAGTAAAATCTTTTTATAAGGCATTCAATAAAAAAAAACTTAGAAAAATCGAAAAATKCATGTGTCTATAAATAGCTTAAAAAAAGCCAAAATATTTTGAAAATTTAATTATAAATAGATAACGCTAATATATATATTTGGTGAAAATTTCAAGCATTTACAATGATTCGTTTTTGAATTACAGCAAAATAAAAAATCAATTTTGTGGAAAATTAATAATGGCGTTTTTAAGTTACTTTTTAGGGTTTTTCCTGACGCTTTTGAAAACTATTTTAAACTTACCTAATCTACAAAGTACCATAACTAGATGAGTTTTCCTTTTCAAAGAGGGGCTGAAGTCAAAAATCAAAGCATATTATTTCTACTCTAAAACGTGATGACAGACAAAAAAAAAGTTTTCGGCTTCTCATTGCCTACTCATATTATTAATACTAAATTATATTTTAAAAATTAATTTAATTTAAAATTATAATTTTTGATTTTTTGAATCAACTACTTAACTACTCAAACGTTAGGTATTCTGCTACCAAGGTTCAAGATTACGACTTATGTGTACTATGGTGTAATGTTCACATATCACGTTGYGATGCGCTAATTCGGAAGAAAACACATAACAATGGGACCATATACGTATCTATTTAGTCATGACCACAATACGTTCCTTTCAACAATCAGAATCACAAATTTACCTATAAATTATGAAAATGTAAATCCTTTAACCAGACATAAATAATGAAAAAAATTATTTTAACTTCCCTTAACGATAGTTGAATTTTAAGTATAATCAGTGGTGGCTTGTGCTAAGGTGAGATGGTGCGACCGCAGCCGCTGTTGTATCATAGCGCGACGAGTTTAATATTATTGGTGGACTTCAACAACTGGGCCGCGGGTCGTGGCGAAAATATACTATATTATTATGGCAGAGGACTTGTAGCTCTAAAAAGCTCTAATAAATATGCAAGCACTTATGAATTTTTTTTGTTTTTATTAATAATAATTAAGATGTTCCTAGCCATGGCTATCTACATCTAGTGATATTATATTGGTACATTTTAAACAATTATGAATGAATATGATAATTTAAGTAATAATAATAATAGTATAACAATAACAATATTGAAATAATAATTACAATATGATAGTATATATAGTAGATATAATAATGACAAATTGTATAGCTTGATATTGACGCTACAAGTAGCAACAGCTACTGTATAATGTGAAGCTGTTACACCAGAAGGTCATGCGGACGTCCACGTTTTAATCTACGTTGAGGCGGACGTACGTGGAGTTGATAGTGAAGTGAGCCAGTGGAGTTGAGCAGTGAGGTATGGAAGTTTTTTGATGAGGTTTTAATAACGGTCTGTGATTTCCTGGATCTGAAGGTCTTTGTGTAGGGTTTACGTTCCTTATAAACGAAGGTGCGTTGGCAACAATACGTAGCACTTTTATTTGAAAAATTTGAATTTTATTGATGTGAGTGGACGCGCATTTCCCCCAGACCGGACACGCATACGTGAGTAGTGGACGTAGAATTTGTTTATATATAAGAAGAGAGCATTTTTTCTGTATTTGAGATTTTTTATTGAGAATAGGGTATAACATAGATAGGCGCTGATAGACAGGCATCTGTTGAAGTTTGAATGAGTTATTTTTTTTTTTAAAACGAGAGAATTGTACAATCTGTAATTTAAGGTTTACAATAAGCACATATGGGGCTGCCATGTTGGCCGTTTATCCAATGTCAAGCCGAGGTATTTTACTGACGAGCTCCAAGGTATATTTACATTGTTAAATGTTAGTTTATTGTGCAGGGGAGCGGTAAGGACTTATGCATTTAAAAACCCCATAATATTATGTGCCTACTTAAAAATTTTTTTAAACACGAATGTACGTTCCGCAGAACTGACTGAGACTAAATACTAAAATAGTAAAATATTGATTATGTCTGATGTCATGTCTAGAAACGTTTTATAAATAAATCCTAATCGAATAAAAGCCCGCGTAGTGCGCACAAAGGTGTGCTGGTGATGTCGTAGCCTCGTAGGCAGTGTACGACGTTAGATCGTTATCGCTTCGACGAAAAATGTGTGCGCGTGGACAGTCAAAAACCATACGACGAAAATTAAAAATAAATAAATTTTTATCCAAACATTTTGACTGTATTGTTTGAAATGAAATGTCACGGTGAAAAAAATCGATTTAAGTTAAATATGTCTCAAAAAGTATAAAATAGCGTATAAAAGTGTAAAATATATCTTGAAAACCAAAATAACGCAAAATATGCATTTATATGCACAATAAAATTTCAAAACTAACTTTGTGAAAGCATGAAGTGTATTTGTATCGTAGGTACTCTGCTATTTTTGTGACTGTGTAAAACAAATATGCAAATGCTTCAAGTCCTCTGCCCTATATATTATCATAGTGCGATAATATTCTCGTAGATCATTTTCGGCAGCGATCTGTGATTTTGTATTTACAGCGCGACGAGTTCGATATTTTCGTCTAATAGCGAAAGAAATTCCGACAGACAACAATGACTGGAAATATATTTTGTTATCCGTATCAGTGATTTTAGTGATATTATTCACATAATATTACTTGGATTATTATTTGAGATCTTTATTTTATTTGTATTTGGCCTTCAAAGTAGTTTGTAGTTTGTACGTGGCGTGTTATGTACGACAGCTATTACAGGTAAAATATGATAGCATTTCATTTCCAATTTATTATTTAAAACTATGAATTCCTTTCAAGAATTGATTAAATTTAAATGTACATCTTTGTCGTTCGAAAAAAAATTGAAATAAAATCACTAGGAAGACCATCACAGACTTCATTCGATTTAACCCAAAAATCAAATAAAGGAAATAAAACTTATTAACGCCGTTTTAATACGCAATTATTCCAAAACTCATTTAAAAATCTTCAAAATGAAGCGAATTTAAAAATGTTAGGTATGGTCACAGAATAGAATAATGGTATGGTTAACATTCGAAACCAAATCGATGCCGGTTATAAAGTGGAAATAAAACGACATAATGAACAGGTGTCAAATTTTGTGGAAATAATGAACTTTCTTTGCGTGGTCACGATGAAAAAATTACATCAAAAAATCAAGGTGTTTTTCGTGATTTAATTGACCTTTATTCTAACTTGGATCCAAATTTAAAAGATCATTTTCCAAATTCTGTGGTTTTTAAAGCAATATCTAAATAATACAAAATTAGTTACTAGACTGTAATTTAAATGTTACTAGAAATCAAATTTTAATGGAAATAAATAATTCAGATTATTTTCTTAGATCTAGTTTTTGTTCAAGAGTGTTTAAAGACCGAGCTGGAGGTAATGATTTTTGTACTTTATGTGTGTTGTAATTCCTACTATAAATTATTTATTAAATTATATAATAATATGGAGAATATACATTTAAAGAAGTTTTTAAGTTGCTAAAACTCTTAATAGTTATTTCAATGACATCTTCAAAAGCTGAAAGAAGTTTTTCAACATTGAAAAGGATTAAGGCATGCTTGAGAAGTACCATGTGTGAAGAGAAACTCAACGCTTTAACTATGTTAAGTAAGGACAGTTGTTTGTTTAACGAAGATAATAGGTTTAATCAAAAAGTTATTGATAAATTTATTAAAATAAAAATGTATTGCATTATTATTATTATTATTATTTATTTTTATGAATAAATATATCATTTTATGAGTAATAAAGTAGTTGAAATGAAGTATTTGTCTCGGTGGCGTCAAAGTCAAATTGTTCAGTGTGCCCAATCATAGATTTAGTATTCATCAAAGATCGATGGGGGTGTGGGGCTACTGTCCCTTCAAAAAAATAATTTTATCGCACTCCCATATTAAACTATCACAAGCCGCCACTGAAAATAATACGAGTTTATCGGTATCCTGTTTAATTTCAAACTTACCATCAAATACTGCTTACTGTGTCTTTTGTATCTTAAGAACGGTAAAATTATAATAAACGAGCATCATCAATCATCATAGTCCAATTATATTATAATTTATAGGTAATAAACCAATAACTAGAGCTCGGATGTTATAGGTGTATATTGTTCTGTATGTTATCGATTTATAGCAGACCAAGCTAGAAATCCGAGCTATACAATGTTGAATTGAAAATTGAAAATTAAGAATTGATTTTTGCATATTTAATATTTTCTAAAAAAATTAATTAATTTTAAATTATTTATTTTGGATTTCAAAAAAATAAAAATATATTTGTAAACTATTTTTTCAGTTCATTAAAATCTCTAATGCCAACCAGTTACACCTCATATTTTAATTTTCAATAATACAATTTTTTTATATATAAGTTTTTAGATTTTTTTCGTGCATATAAATAAGTAATAAACTTTTAGTAAACAAATAGATATTTTTTTGCATATTTTATATTTTTTCAGGCATATTTTCCTTTTTTGGCTCCTATAACTTCCAAATAATTAGCAGGACATTACAATGCCTGATTTTMTCTTTCTTTGATTATTTAAATTAAATATCTAAACAATTTTAATTAAAACATGCTCAAGTTTTTTAAACTATTTTATACTTTTATTATTAAACCAAAATTGATACTATACATGTCAGATATGCGTTACCCCAATATTTAAGAACTGGTAGATAGCATAACTGTTAAAAAAAAAAAAAAAAGTACACTGCATTTATAATATTTGATCATAAGTTAATAAGTTTAGTATATCAAATATATTATATAAAATAAAGATAAACCATAAAAAAAAAAAAAGTGCATACACATATTTTTAAATAACATAGTGCTTAATAATGTTTACAATTGTAGGACTTTTATTTAAGTTGTTCTTCAAACTTTACATATAAAAATAATAAAAATAAAAACAAATGAAGCACAAATATTCAAAAATATTTAAATGAAATGAATAAGGTATAAATTACCAATGCTAGAAATAATATTTTTAAACCTTGACTTTAATTAAAATATATTATGCAATTCAGATAAAAAAAAGTAATGCTATTTTTATTTTGGCACATCTTTAATAAGCAGTATTTTATAATTATACAATTGAGATTCATTTATGTTATAAGTTTAATTAGGTACTTAATATTACAGAAAACAGATTAAAATAAATAACACTTTTAAACGTTATGTATTTGGAATAAACTGGGATTTATGTTATTACTTAAATTGTAAGTAAAAATACTAGGGCCAATAAATCCACCAAAACCTTTAGCTCCTTTAAAATAAATTCCTATTCCAGACAATGGTACACCTGGAAATGGTGCTACAGTCTGCATGTCAATAAAAGGTAATGTTGTTTGTGCAACATCGCGGTCAATAGATGAATGTGTAAACTTAAGGAATTTATTTGAAGACATATCTGGTTCAGATGCAGTATTTGATTTGGTTGKCAAATCTGAATTATTTATATCAATTTCAGTTCTGTAAGTATAAAATTATGAAACACATTAATATTATTAAAATACACATATGCATAAATAATAAGTTTGAAATTAACACAATAAAAATGACATTAAAAATAATTCACAAACCTTGGATCAGGGGACAATTCAGTTTTTTCATTTCCGATCCAATAACTTTTCAACTCAGGATCAATAAGTTTACCACTCATAAAATCAAAAGGAGTAATGCGGACTTCAATATTAAGATGAGATCCGATCTTTCTAAATCTTAATCCTATAATAATTTATAATATAATATATTAATTAAGTATTTTGATCATAACGGATAGTAAAAATGTTTTACCTGTAACAACCGTATTTTCAGGAGCAATTACATTGTCAATATCAATAATGCGGGCTTCGTATGTTAATGTATGATAGTCAACACCATCTTTTAATGTTTTATTTTTATATGAAAACTCAGAACCAGGTACTTCAATCCATCGTCTGGAAAATTCATTTATTACTCCTCGATGGCCAAGTTCACCTTCTTGCACTTGTAAATGGAACATTTGATTCACTTTAACAAACTTTACACCGGTTATAACCCTAAATAAAGCATAGAACAAATTAAAAATGTAAGAACAGAAATTTAATTAATAGTTGAAACTTACATGTTTTTATTAATATTAGATAATGAAGGTTTTAAACTGAAGTATCTATCAGAAGCAGAATCATTTGAATCGCAAATGCAAAAACAGTAAGAACAATGCCAAACCAAAAATGTCCACCAGCTGTCTACCATACTTGTTGTACCTTTGCATTCAACTGATGAATCACCTAAGACTTTACCTCTTTCATATGCAATATAATCATATCGTCTATTGTTTCCAAACTTCTACAATAATTTTTTTAAATAATTATTAACCAAAAATACATTACAAAAAAAAAAAACTTATAATACTTCAAATAACTGTCTACAAAACTAAACTTACAGACTGACAAATTCTCATATCAGAATCAAAATACTGACAATTTAATATACGTCCATTACAAACACGCTGTTTAGCACAAAATTGATCTCTAAAACATGATTTATGTTCAGCGACTTCATAGTATGAACAGTCTTTCAAGCAGCTCTGCTCTCTGTTCATATCAGCTTCATTTTCTATGTAACCCTATTTAATAAAAAATGAATCACTGATCTCCAAATGCATATGATTTACATGTTATAACAAACATATTTACTTTGCAATAATAGTAATTATTAGCTTATTCAATTAATTTTTTTCTATTATACCTGTAATAACTGTGTAACTTCTAAATACGTTTTATCCTTTACATGTATTGATGGGTCACATCTCCAGTATATATTACTAGCAGAAATAATCGAAGATTTTAAAGCATCGAGTTGTTCAATGATTATTTTCTCAAAATGTTCCGTTTGTTTTGTTCTTTCAAATGTAAAATTTCCTGTACAATAATTAATTATAGAAACAGTTTCTTGGATAACACTTTATACAGATGGAAAGATCAAAGATAGATCTGCACAAATTAATATTAATGGTAAGATTTTTAAGAATGCTTTATTAAGCTAGTATTTTTATCTCATATATCCAGAGGTTAAAGTGGGAAAAAATTCCAGAGGGGACTAATGTTTCCAAAAAGTTTTAAGCGTTCCATATATAGTTTTATGTATAATGTATAATGTATAAAATCCTAATTTGTTAAAGGGGACGCTTTTTAACCGCCGTCAGAGGTAAGGGAACTGAGTCCTCCTGCGTCCCCCCCACTTTAACCCCTGCATATATCTCATTAAAATGTTTTAAGTTCACAATTCCAAGAAATATGGTTAATAGTTTTTTAGATGAAAACTACCAAAAAATTTTTTTTAATAAATATGATTTTTAATATCTGATCACGAAATATTTTTCTATTCCATTAGATCTTAAACACTTAGAACTTCTATAGATTGTTTAATAATGCTTGTGACAATATTGTTCAAATGATAAACAATTATCAGTTTATATTTTATGATATTTGATTCATTAATTTGTTTATACTAAATACTATACAGTATGTTATTCATTATGAATTTATTTCAAGAAATTTTTAAATATTTTTTTTTAAAGTGATAAGTAGAATATGCAAATATGAATGCAGACCACAGGCAAGCATGCAGGAACTAATAAATTTTAGTATAATGTAACATGCAAAATTTATTTTAATACCTTTGTCATATGTTTGTAATAACATCCATGAATATTGCATAACAGAATATCCTTTTAACTGAGTAAGATGCAATGTCGTGTATAAATTATAAATCAACTGTTGTAGTGATTGTTTTTGATCACACAGCATATCATTATTTTCCTAAAATATTAAAGTATAAAATTATTTAATAATATTACTAATATGTTTTTTCCAATTTTTAATTGAAATTGTATTGTGTAATTTATATTTAATACTTAAATAGAAAACAATTTTAATACCTATCACTTAACAGCATAATCAATAAAGATACGGACCACGGAGTCTTTTCTCCAAATGTTGAAATATTTCAATGAATAAAAATATATCATTGAACATGTTAACATTTAGAGCCTGATACAATACTTTAAAATGTCAAATGCTGACAACACAATTTTCATTTAATATGTTCATTGTAATACCACCTTTAGTTATTTGTTTGATCTTTGCCATGATGAGTGTGTGTTCATAATGCAATATCATCTTTTTTTTTCAGATTAAATATAATGTTATTGCAATATTTATTTTTTTCAGACCACCCGCAACCACTTGTTCAGTGCTCACAACATATATATAATGTATTAACATATAATTCTTTTTTATATATTTTTTTAACCTTTAAATGTATCTATTATTTTATATGTCACAAAAAAAACAACACACATCATTGTAAAATCAATACATTCATCACTCCGTTTGGAATCTAAAACGATTTCTTTACAAATTGGTTTTGCATAATAATTACTAGGAATTTTTCATTTTAACCTTCTAAATGCATCAACTAGATTCACTTTTCTATTAAAAAGACGTTTATGTTGAAAATCAATGTATTTTCACTACTCCAAATGTCGATGACAGCAAAATATAAAATAAAAACGCTATCTTCAGAATCTAATATATAATATATAATATATAATCAGTGGTTAAAGTGGGAAAAATGTTGAGGGGAGACTAAAGTTACCAACAACTAAGGAGCGTTTCTGTCTTGCTGAGTTCTTCCAATGTATTTATCTAACCAAGCTTTTCTAAAAAAACCCACTAGGTATAAACCTACATGATTTGTTTCTTTCACACACMGTTGTTCATAAAAAAATTATATAAATAGTATGTAAAATCATTTCTCCTGAGAAAAATGATTTAAAACATATAATGCCTGCTAAGTAAAAAATAAATTGCAATTGCAATTCATTGCCTGAAATCAGGATCAGCTTTAGTTCTTTGCCTGGAGTGGGGCCAATATTTTTTGATATGTATATATTTAAACTATAATAAAATTAGTCAGCAAGTGTTAGTTAGTCAGCAAAAACGAGTGTATTAAGTTATTATTTAGAGTAAAAATGAACAGTTTATTTTTATAATATAATATTAATGAAATAAAAAATATATAACCTTAACAATGGTAATGTCTCAAAGATAAGTAACAATTCATGAATTAGAGAATGGAGAAATAGAGCTCTAGTTGCGCCAATGCATGTAACACAATAACATATTATTTACATAATTTTATAATGAATAGTAGGTACATAATTGATAGGTAGGTTACAGTATAAAAGGAAAATTAATATCTAAAATAAAACATTAAATTTTTCTTTGTTCTTCTTAATTTGAAAGTTATGGTTAAAATTGTATTTCTGAATTAATTAATACCTAATTAATAATGATCTCATGGCCCCTATGCCCTCCCTAAAGCTGCCCAACCTAAAATGTTTAAAAACATATGTGTTCACATTTTGTATTAAACATATCATTAAAAAAACAAATTAAAATTTATTTATTYATCACATAAATAATGAGTAGGGCCCAGAATTATATGCACTACAAATTTATGAAATATGCATGCGTATATGCACTGATTTTCATTCAAATAAGTACTAAAAATATGTGAACAAAAATGCATTTTAATTAAATTTATTTAGTTTAAAAATGTATATAATTCATTAAATAATTAATAAGGTATATTAATAACAAAAAATGTATTAAATGCCAATTTGTAATAATTTAATTGTATTTGGTATGATATATTCAATAGTATGTTGCATTTTGAACATTCACTCATCTAAATAAAAATTCATGAACAAAAATCAAATAAAAACAAATTTACTATATTTTTATAATATTTCAAAATTATACTGAGAGTTACAGTTAACAGTTAATAGAGACTTGGATACATTTTCAAATAAAAATGCACTTCGATTTTCAGGCAAATTTTTTCTTTTCACATCCATGGGTTTTTCATATGACATAGCATTAAGTATTAGTATTAATAACATAATAGGTACTATTTTTTCATAAATATGCATTTTATTTTAGAAAAATGCTAAAATATGCATAACAATTTAAAATGTTCTAAATATGCAAAAATATGCAACATTTAATTTTGCATACCAACACATTAGGTTAAGATTCAACTTTGTATCTTACCTAGCTATTTTTTTAATTTAATAAATAAAAATATGCAAAGGTATACAATTCAGGGCCCTAGTAATAAGTATCATAAATATTACTTATAAATACAAGTATACTATATAACCAATATAGCCAGTATAGTAAATTAGACACACCAAGCTATTTTAGTCACAATAATGTATTATTTAATAATCGCTTATCACACACATTCCCATCTTCAGACACATGAAGATTATTTTCGTGAAATAATATACGTTTAAATTCGATAATTAATCATGTGTGTGTGTGTGCGTAAGCTATTTAATAATACACGCAACATAAATTTATAATAAATTTCTTGTCAAGCGCCCCCCCCC